AACACCGCAAAACAGCACCAGAGAAAAAATTCCGCGGGTAAAATAGTTAGTCTATTTCCTGTTGCTGGAATTAGATGGTTGAGATGACTGCAGAGATGGATTCTACATTTGTGAGATGGACACACTCCTGTTATTTTCAGTTCGTCAGAGAAAAGGATAAGAATGCATAGTCAGGTGCAATATGAGCGACACCAAACTCTCAACATCGAGAAATAGCACGAGTAAAACCTGGAAACACTAACACTAAGCTATCGGAGAGAGCCGCGGGGTCGGAGAAGTGAAAAAAGGCGGAGGACGAGCGCAGACAAGCAACAAAAATTAAGTTTAACTAAAAATAACAAAATCTGTTTTTATTAAATCATAGCCTATAAAATAAATGAATATGCGAAATATTTGACTTAAATAGCCTAATTAACAGATTAACAAAACGAAAGGAAAAGACTGAGAGATAGGCTATGCTGCTGAGTTTGGTTCATATGCTATTTGTGTGGCGCGGCGCTCTACGAAAGTCCACGGAAAGGAAACCGAGATGACAGAAACAAAAGTAAACGCATTGCCGTTTCGAATGATCTGTATGACCAAAAATGACGGAGTATTTTTTTGTTGTTTGTTTCCACTGTTCGATCGCGCCGGCGCCTCACACACACACAGCATTGCAAACGTTGCAGCCTGTTCATTATCAGAATAAAATACAGTCAACCAAACATAGATACACTGGTTAATTTAAATAGTGCGTACTGCGTAGTTACAATCCGTGCCATTCAGCCTGAGCTCGGGCCAAACACACATTTGCTCATGTGAAGAGGGTGTTTTTTAAGCACGTTAAGTAAGCCTGGTTTACATAATAAATAATAGTTTAGCATTCAAATACATCGCAAATATGGACAGATTTAATTGGATTAATGCCGAATGAGAGAGGTAGACTGCGCGAGAACGGCGTTTGCTTTCAGTTTCGTATTGAATTAGCCTAATTCGTTTTGGCTTTAGCAATTTATATTTTCATTCTTGTTTTCTTCTGAAACCATTCAAAATAGCCTATAGGCTAGGTATTGTGTTTATTGTTTGTATATTATAACATTTCGCTTTATTTACCGGTGTTATTTATGAATGTAATAATGCGGTTTGTGCTTATCTGTGTTTAACCTAAACTTGGCTACAACATAACATTAATGTAGACCTATACCGGTATCTAAATGAGCAGCAATAAACTACATTTTGGCATTTCTACTTATGTGGATATTTTGGTGAAAGTAACTCAAAAGTAGTGTAATGCATCACACGCTGCTGTCTGTGGGAGAAATGAGAGAGCGAGTTAATGCTCAGTCTCATGGAGAAGGGTCTCAAAGGTGGCAGGGCTTGCGTGGCTTATGTAGCTGCCACCTAATGAGCTGCAGCTGTGACCGATCAGCCTGTGATGAGGACGGGCAGGTGTTCCTCGCTTGTTTCCAGGGCGACGCTCGTCACACTATATATATATATATATATATATATATAGTTGCTTATATTTCTTTATGCATTTACTTGTACATTTACTTACAATACTTTAGCACGTTTAAGATTTTAAA